GCATAATCAAAATCGACTCTTTACAGGAAAATGCCGACGAGCCGAATTGCACGTAAGGCACGAAAATGGGGAGGGGCTTTGACGCACAGCTGGATAACATCAGAGTGCTTCGTATGCGACGTCCAACTCGACACCGCCAACTCCAACTTCAATCGCGGTGACTGCAGTCTCAGTTCTCGATGGGCAGTTTTTCGCGTTGTGCCCCTTTTTCCCGCACCTCTGGCAAAGCTTCTCTGGGCATGCACTCGCATAGTGGTCCCCATCACAGATGTAGCACTTGACTCTCTTATCGCTGGCCAAATTCGCCTCTTCGTCACCTCGGTTGTGTTTTGACCGTCTCTTTCCTCCCCCCTTCCCCTCTACTGCTACGAACGCATGATGGTTCGCTCGCCGATCACTCTTCCCCTTCTTTTCCTCCGCTTTCAGTTGCCCAGCCCGTGTGCGTAGCACTCTCAAAATCTCTTCTTCATCGAGTGTTTTCTGGGCGAGCAGCTGTTGCTTTTGAATTTCGAATTCCGGGGAAAGCGCATCGAGGAACCGTGCATACACAAGCATTTTTGGGATGGGCTGGTCAAATGCCAACTCTAGGTTGGTCACTACGGACTTGAACTCCTGGAAAAACACTCGGGGGTCCTGGTTCTTCCCCTGTTGGGCATTGTAAAACTTGCCGATCAGCGAGATCTGCTCGCCGCCGGTCAAGGGGATGAATGTTTCTTCTAACGCACGCCACGCAGCCGAGGGCCCCTTTCGATTATAAACGAGCATATTTTGGTGGAGTTGTTTGAGATCGCTCCGGTCAGCATCCCCCACAGGTCCCGGTACATAGCTATCTGCCCTTCCTCCACTCCCTGCTCTACCATGCCATAATCATCTNTTCTTGTGTGTTTCATCGGGATACGAACGCAGTCCACGAAACTCGATGTTGCCTGTCCGGTATACCATGCTCATCTCAGTAACTAACCGCGTAGGTTGAGCCATGATGAGGCTAATTGCACGATGAAATACTGAGGATGGTATGGCATTCCGTTGTCGTCTCACTTTGAGGAACGGTGATCCGCAGGGCACTGCGGTCACACCAATTTGATTGACGATGTTCGGAATTATTTCCTGGTGTCTGTTGTGTTGTTTCACCGGGATTTTTGCCTGAAATCAGGGAGGGCTGACGAATGACCTTTTTTTCGTGATAGATGGCGACCAGCGTCTCTCATATTAGCAGGTACCAACAGGCTGGTTGAGAACTGTTTGTGATTGATATGCTGCTTCGATCGTCCGCTGATGTGTAGGCTGAGAGGGGGCACCCTTCCCTAACATGTGGTTGATTGCCCTTTTATATGATCTTTCATCGA